CATCCATCCATCATCCATCCATTCATCCATCCATCCATCCATCCATCCATCATCCATCATCCTTCCATTCATCCATCCATCCATCCATCCATCCATGATCCATTCATCCATCCATCCATCCATCCATCCATCCATCCATCCATGATCCATTCATCCATCCATCCATCCATCCATCCATCCATCCATGATCCATCCATCCATCCATCCATCCATCCATCCATCCATCCATCCATCCATCCATGATACATTCATCCATCCATCCGTCCATCCATCCATCCATCCATCCATCCATCCATCATCCTCCCTGTAGATTAGAACAGATTTCTCTGCACCTCTAATCTTCACATGTAAATATTTGTATTTTCCCTGCAGGATCCGTGTGGAGCAGCTGACAGCCATCACACAGGAAGAGGCTGACTCTCTGAGGAAGAGGGACGTAGCAGGTATGAGCTCCATCAGTTTGTTTTCCCCGAGCGTTGGAGTTAAATCTGTGTCTGCAGATAAATTCTGCAGGTTTTTATTTGATGTTTGTTCACATGAACCTTGTTTACAGAGGAATGTTTGTGTTTTGTGACAGGAAGTCTTTTCATTTTATGTCAGGTTTTGTTAGTTTTCTCTTAAACTTAAATAAATTGTAGAACTCAGCTTTTTATAATTCTTCTTTCTAATGTTTTCTGTCTGTTCCTTTCCCCTGACGTTGTCTCGTCCTCACCTCGGTGTCTTCAGCTGCCATGCAGAAGATGTTGCTGGACAGCAACGCCATGAGCCTCCTGCAGGAGGTCAACGACTGTCGCAGACAGAGCCTGGTCTCTGAGGCCTGCAGGAGGTCAGACCTCCACAAACTTCACATCTAAACACCTGCTGCACATCTGTCCTCATGTCCTCTCTCTGTGTCCACAACAGCATGGAGACGCTGGACAGGAAGTTTGACAGGATGCTGTCCCTCCAAGTCTTGGACAAGTCCAAAGCCATCGCTCAGATCCTGCAGGAGGTAAGGTGCTGGTTTCTAATGGTCCCTCCATGGTAGAACAGGTGGTCTCAGTCCTCTGGTGTTGTGTGCAGGAGGAGATGCAGAAAGCAGCCTTCCAGGTTCTACAGCTGCAGAAAGACGCTGTCCACGGATACATCCGGAACCAGGTCCGACACAGACACTTCACTGGTTCATCCACCGTTAACAAACCATTTTTATCTTTATTTTCTACAGCAGCTTCCTCACAATCAGTTTGACTCATTTTAACAACATTTCAGAGTTTTTATGTGTCTGAGGCAGCTGCTGAGGTGGGTCAACCAGAGCCGGATCAGGGTTTATGGAGCCTGTGGGCAGAATCTGATTGGACCTCTGCAGCACTTTGTGTTCATGTTGGGCCAGTCCTGGTTTACTTCTGCAGAATATTTAAACTAATCAGAAAAACTCAAACATGCTCCCTCTGCTGGTCTGGAGGAGCAGATGTTCAGTTATTTTCTGCCTCGGTCCAGCTCTGTGTTTTAATATAGTTCACTTCAGCAGCTGGTTCAGCCTGACATTAGGCAGCTCTTTAAGCAGAACATTCATCCTCACATTAAGCAGAACATTCATCCTCACATTAAGCAGAACATTCATCCTGTCATTAAGCAGAACATTCATCCTGACATTAAGCAGAACATTCATCCTGTCATTAAGCAGAACATTCATCCTGTCATTAAGCAGAACATTCATCCTGTCATTAAGCAGAACATTCATCCTGTCATTAAGCAGAACATTCATCCTGACATTAAGCAGAACATTCATCCTGTCATTAAGCAGCATGTTGCTTCTCTGCTGTCCTCAGATCAGGCTCATTGAAGGAGAACTAATGCAGGTGACTAAACTGGAGATTAAAAGACGTGATCTGGACTCTGAGAACCTGCAGGTGGGTGGTTCTGCCTTCTTTCTTTGCCTTCATGCGTTTATTTTATGTGTTTGTTTTCTTTTGGTTCGTGTCTCATTCTTCATGTCATTTATCCATAACAACTCAATCAGACAATGTTCAGCTGAGTGATTAAAGCAGCTCCAATGGTTTTGAGACATTTGTGAACCTCTGGTGGTTCCTGTAGTTCCTGATGAAGATGAAATATTAAAATAAGTTCTTGTCTGGTTCTTTCATCCCTGCAGGAGGTTCTGGTGGAGCAGCGCACAGCTCTCAGTGACTTGTTGCAGCAGCTGCTGAAGCAGAGAGACCAGAGGGAGCAGGAGCTGCGGCAGGTTCTGGTGAGGAACCATCATCATCATCATCATCATCATCATCATGAGACCACCTGTCTCAGCTCAGGCTGAGGAGAACTGTTTGTGTTTCAGGTGGAGATGGAGAAGAAGTCCGACTCCAACCAGCAGAACTACTGGATGATTCAGTACCAGAGGCTGCTGGACGCCAAACCTCTGTCTCTCCGCATGCAGGTACAGAACCACACCTGAGAGCTCCCAGGAGCCTGGAAAACAAAACTCTGGTCCTGAGAGTGTGATTGATCTGCAGGAAGCAGGTGTGGAGAAAGAACTGGTCCACCTGCTGTGCAGACTGTCGGCCCAACACTGCCTGCCCATCCTGGCCCATCATCGCATCACCACCGAGGCGCTCTGCCACATGACCGCCTCCGACCTCAAGAAGGTTTGTAGGAGAACACCTGGCAGGTATGGTGCAGTATGAGGGTCAAAATTAAATTAGCAACCAGTGGTTGCTACATCCTTGTAGCAGGAGGCTGTATCTGTTCCTAAACCAGCTGTTGATCTGATTAATGATAGGCCGACACCGCTAACTGAGAGGCTGGAGCTGGGAAATGAGAAGGACACTATACATTTGTGTTAGCATTGGAGAGGCTAGCGACTAGCATGGATACAGTGGTGTTAGCATTGGAGAGGCTAGCGACTAGCATGGATAAAGTGGTGTTAGCATCGGAGAGGCTAGCGACTAGCATGGATAAAGTGGT